TAGATAGATAGATAGATAGATAGATAGATAGATAGATAGATAGATAGATAGATAGATAAGGATGAGATTGATAATCCACAAAGCTCTCATTATTTCTGTAAAAATATAGTTAAATGTGCAAAGTGGGAGTGTTTTTTTCCTTTTAATTAAAATATTCTAGTATAGCTTTTGTGCAATTAAGTTTATTAAAATATATAGAATAAAAAAAAAGAAGTTGCCTTACTCCCTATCATCACCAATATGTCACTCAAAATGTTCTTTAGAAGAGATTCACAGAAGCTTTGTTTTTTTTCTGTAAATACAAAAGAAATATAATGATGGTATTTCCTGATAAGATCTCCTAAATTTTTTTAATTCCATTTTGGTGTGTATTCCTATGATGGTTTATTATCTTTGTCAAACTATGTACAGCTTTTCATTAACTAAAATAAAGACTACTTGTTTTTAATCAGAGTGAAGACAGTGAGAGTACTGTAAATGATTTGTTGCAAAGAGGAGACAACTTACAACAAAGAATCACAGATGAGAGAAAGCAAGAGGAGATAAAGATAAAACAGCAGCTGTTACAGTCAAAACATAATGCTCTCAAGGTATTAGAGCTCAAATTATAATATGTTTTGCCTGTGGTTTGTATGTATATTTGGTAAAACATAATGTACATAAATAAAATCTGTTTAAGCATATTAGTTACCAAAAATTACTTTTCCCTTTGAATGTGTGTTTTCTTTATGACTTTTTTATGCCGCCAGTTATAAAATATTTGTGATATAAACTATATGTTTTCATTCTTGTCCCCGGTAATGTTGAATGCTATCAAGAAGTGTCATTCATAGTATTTATGACTATTTTAATATGATTTATTTCTATAAGCTAGTCTTGTATTTCTCCTGATTGCCAGAATATTCAGTTGATATTTCTTCCACTTTTGTTACTTCTTTATATTAGTTCTATAATTTTGGTAACCCATTTCTTTAGTAAGACCTGGAATTTTCTCATTATTAGAAAATACGTTTTTTCATGTTTATAACAAATACTCTGTAAAACTAAGCATCAACAAGAGCCTAATTTCACTTACATGGGAATCCTCAAAAATGCTCATAATGCACTTGAAGAAATGTTAGCAATAGTATGAGTGGTCAAGTATCATTGTGACTCATCTGGGTTGTGCAGGATAAGATGTTGACTATAATAAAGTATTCACTTTTATCTAATGCTGTCTAGGCAGTTCTTGAGATGCAACTAGACATGACAAACATTTTCTGAAACATTATTTTTATATATGCTTTGCAATATTTTCTATTTTCCTTTTTGGGCTATTAACTAATACTGTTTTTTTTTGTACCACAATTTTTAATTTATTTCGTTATTATTTATTCTTTACTTTTTTAGATAAATAGTTTCTATTAATTACAGTTTAATTGCAGTTTTTATTAATTACAGTATTCACTTTGTATCTCAGCTGTAGCCCCCTCCCCCATCCTCTCCCAGTCCCACTAGTCCTCCATCTTCTTCTAATACTGTTAATTGTAGTGTTTTCAATTTGAATCATTACTTTTAACCTATGTAGCTATATAGTTGGATTTGCCTACTAGAGAGATGGAGTCTGCTTTCTATATGCAAATAAGTGGGTAAAACTTTTTTTCTATTGTAAACCAAAAAACACTGCTTAGAATGTAATTACACAATATTGTGCCTACAAGGAGTCAGACAAGGAAAGTCTAATTGGGCAGCAGGAGTTCTGAAGGTAACTGCTGATAAGTATAATAAATAATAAAGACCTATTCCTTGCAGGGAATGCAAGAGCAAATCCTAAGGTGCCCAGAAATTCAGAAACCTGCGTAATTCACACTCTTGTGTGACGAAAGTTTCAGAAGTTTACAGGCTAGTCACATGAAGATTTGTATACTATTGTTTAGCCAAATCCAAATGTTGTATTCCATATATCTAACAAATAGTTACAATTTTTACAAGTAATATTCTATATTGCTCATCACCTCTTTCTAAGGTATCAAAAGGACTATCAAATTTATAATTACCCAGTCCTTTATGCAGGTATGTACATTGTATCAGTTCAAATTTCAATAAGTCACAGGACTCACAACTGGGTGGAGCAGAATTCCATTTGACTGTTTCAGGGTATACATTACCTTTACAGGGGATTTACAAATAACATATAAAGGACAATTGTAAATCCTCATGCTACAAGTGATTAATAAAAATCAACGTTTTTGCCAAATAAACTTATAAAAATATAGGTATTGAATTGACTTGCCAAGTAGTTGCAATTCTCGTTCTATAAAATACTTCAGAAGAGGTTAGAAGTTTTCAGCATGTGTTTTGATACCCTCCTGGGGTATCTGAGACCATAAGCAGTGAATCATTCAACTATTCATATATATATATATATATATATATATATATATATATATATATATTTCATATTAACTTGGACATAAAACAGAATTTCTATCTCTTTGAAGAAATGAAATCTGTCAATAAAGCTATTATATTCCCAAGGGTTACAAACTGATATTTTACCATATTTGGTTTATTACAGAAAGTACTGAGTGCACTTCTATGAGCCAGATAATAACTGCTTTTCCTTTTGTGATTTATTGAAAAGTTTCCTGTTTGATATCACTAATTTGATTGAAAACCATTCATTCTTTTTTGAATAGTGATTTTTTAATACTTTGATTATAATTTAGTATGATAAAATATTAGCTAAACATGTGTTGAAAGAAAAAAGTTACAATCTAATATGTAGTTTCTAATTTTCATGTACAATAATAGCTATAAAATAAGTTATACTTCTACACATAAACAGGAACAACTTGAACTAAAATAACTAATTATAATTTATTTTAGTTTTTAACTTTATGTGCATGGGGTTTTTCATGCATTTTTCTCTGTGCATCATATGTATGGTGTTCTTCAGAGAAAAGAAGATGGTGTCAGATTGCCTGTGACTTTAGTTACTGATGGTAGTGATCAGCCCTGTGGGTATCAGTACTCAAATCTGGCTCTCTGCTATAGAGGGTAATATTATTAACCACTTAGCCATTTTTAATTTTTTTAAAATTTTCATTAATTAAAGTTTATTCACTTTGTATCCCAGCTGTAGGCCCATCCCACATCCCCTTCCAGTCCTGCCCTCCCTCCCTCTTTTTCTCCCATTCCCCTCCTCAAGTCCACTGATAGGGGAGGTCCCCCTCGCTTTCCATCTGACCCTAGTCTATCAGGTCTCATCAGTACTGGCTGCATTGTCTTCCTCTGTGACCTGGTAAGGCTCCTCCTCCCTCAGGTGGAGGTGATAAAAGAGCCAGCCCATGAGTTCATGGCAGAGATGGTCCCTGTTCCTATTATTGGGGAACCCTCTTTTTCTTAGTCAACAATATTAATGACCTAATCTTATAGACATTTCTAAAATCATGAATGGTTATAGTTTGCCTATATAAGATTAAATTTTGTTGATAAGCTTCAAAATGAACATTCTACATATTGGATTTTAAGTATTTTAAAAGTCAAGTACAACATAATGTCCTTGTAGCTAACTATTTAAGTTCATTATACTCATATATAAAATTGTTTCAAGTGTACTGTGTAATAATTTCCTTGGATAAATAAGACATAATTAAATGTAAAAAGATTTATAAGGAAGTCTGAATATTAAAAGAAAATAGTTTTTGTTATTCACCTTCTTATCTTCTGTACATAGATCTTAACCTTTAATACATAATTTAATAATTTATGTGTATGCTTTATATTTAAATATGATTTTTACATAACAATAGAGACAAGGGTGTAAACTTGGTTTTATAAATAACTGCAGGAAGGAGTATATTAAACACATATATTGATATTTTAATAACATCTGCATCATGAACAGGATTTGAGGTCTCAAAGAAGAAAAAAGGCCCTAGAAATTTCTCACCAATGGTATCAGTACAAGAGGCAGGCTGATGATCTCCTGAGATGCTTGGATGAAATTGAAAAAAAATTAGCCATCCTACCTGAACCCAGAGATGAAAGGAAAATAAAGGTAAAGTTGTTTTAGAATGACAAAACTAGATTTTGTTGCTAGATTTTAACTTTAACATAATCAATTATGATTATGCATAAAATATTAATGTACTTTATTATCTTGCTCTGTGTTTTGATGTATTTCCTTATATTGTGTTTTGTTTAAATAACTGTATTGTACAGAGTGTTTTTAAATGGTCATAATGTTGAATGAATAAAATGTTTTACTTTTAGACAATGTGAAATGAATTACTAACTGTCATGTGTTTTTTAGTCATGCTGTAATTGACACTGTGTATCTTTGTTCCAGATGAACTAATGACATATGGGTATATGGACGACTTCTTGCTCATTTTAGCACATTCATTTCATCAGAGCATCTTCTCATATCACTGCCAAATCTATGATTTCTTTGCAAATTGTCCAAAGATATTTTCTTTCTGTTAATATTTTACACTTTTTATTTTGCTTCATTCTGTATTGATTTTCTCAAACCTACAAAAAATAAAAGTTGTAGTCACTTGCCGTCTAAACATTATTCTATATGGATTATCCCTAATAAATAAATGAACAACCACTCTAATTTGGGTCAATTCTCCAAACACCAGAATAGTTCAAAGGAATCAAACTGTTAACTAACATTTCATAAATTAATTAGAACATCTTAAAGTAAGCATTCAAATGATACTTAAATTATATTTGGCTTGTTGGGAGAGGATGACAGTGACATTTTCCATTATATATAATTCATGAAATATAAAAATAATGGAACAAAAGCTTGTGAAAATTCTGAGAGAAGTATTTGCTGCTTGTAGGTCGGTTGACTTGGTTAGCTAACTGCCCTGGGCCCTGTATTGATTTTGCTCAATAGGAAATTGATCGTGAATTGCAGAAGAAGAAAGAGGAGCTGAATGCAGTGCACAGGCAAGCTGAGGGCTTGTCTGAGAATGGGGCCGCAATGGCAGTGGAGCCAACTCAGATCCAGCTTAGCAAGCGCTGGCGGGAAATTGAGAGCAATTTTGCTCAGTTTCGAAGACTCAACATTGCACAAATTGTGAGTTGTTACTGGCAAACGCACTTATGTGTTTGCAATTATTGCTCTATTAACAGAAGCCTACTAAGAAAACGAAAAATCTGGGCTCAATAACAAACTTCTAGTGGGTATTCTAAAAGTGAGTAGTTCTCCTCACGTTGGGCTTCTGAAACTCAAAAGTTTAAATTTTAAGATCAAAGAGAAAATAACAAGTGGTAGGAACTGTCCCCCTTACTCAAAATGAAAAATATACATCTTAGTTTCTTTTGCTGCATCATTTTTCTTGACATTGGCAATGTGAATTTCTCAACTTCTCATACATTTATTTCCTTCAGTGTCTAAGTCAGAAATACTTATTGCTTTCCTGAGATCATCCCATGCTAATTTTACTTTCTTACTGCATACATGGTGAATAATAAATATTTTCTAAAATGTGTTATCTCGACCTATATAGGTATTATCTTCTTTACTCTTGGATTAGGTATTTAGTGGGTTGCCATGCTCATTAGATAAACTGTGATATATTGATATTTGATGGAAGAAATCAAAAGGAAATGAGAGTTCTTTTAAACAACAAATTTGGAAGTGTCTGACATTCTCTATGTAAACTCAGTTCATAATTGTATAATAACTCATAATAATTTGTAACACAGTAGAAACAACTGAAACCTTTTGACAAATATATTTTTGTTCCTAGTCCAAGTTCTTAGAAGGTGAAGAAGAATGACCACCATCTGTTTTATTCCAGAAAGTACTTATCAAAAAACCAGGATATAAATGTCTGAGACAGAATATTAGGTTGGATGACATGAAACAGCTATTCAGCCATTTTACATTGTGTAAACTATCAACTGTGTGAGGCTCAATTACAAAATGATATTTTTTCTGTGACATTTTTAAGTCCACTTAATACAGTGTGTATGTATGATGTGTAAGGAAAATAAAATAACTATTTTATGAATGCGCATAGAGAAATACATGGGATATTACTGTTACATTTTAAACATAGAATGTTTAAATTTATAAATTTATAAATTTACTTCTTTATGAAATACAATAATCTGAAGTTTAATTGCAACTAACTATTCAAACAAGTTGAAAAAATAATTTAAAAATAGTGACAGGGCTTGATTATACATACATATAATCATAGCAGTTATAAGGTATAGGTAACAGAAACAGGAGTTCAAAATCAGCCAATCTATTAAAAAACAAAAATTAAATATTGAAGATGAAATTACTGAAAATATTTTATCCTAAGTATTAATTTTAGCAGATTATATTAAAGTATTTTAGTTTCATATTTAAAATATTTCATGAATCACTGAGGTTTATAATAGCAGGCAATGTAAAAAAATTCTGGTAAATTGTGTATATGTGGAAGTGTGCATGTTCTAAATGTGCATGTGCATGGTTCAGGTGGAATTCTAAATGAGAAGATAACTTCAGGTGTTCTTATTCATGCTTCAGCCATCAATTATTATTGTATTTCTGTATTAGTAGAGTTTCCTTCCTTGAGAATTCATGCAAACTGAAACCAATTCAATAGCATTAAATGTCACTTAATTATATAAAATAATTGTCTTTTCCTCATTGTCTCTAATTTTACTTTCAGGAAATATTTTGATGAATTCTGCACAGCACTTTTTATTCTAGTCTCCATGTCTTCTAGAATTTTTATCAAAACTAAATTTCCTTAGTATATTCTAATGTGTGTGTATATTTATATATATTTTTTCTACTGAAATAGATGCATGGCTTTCTGTCTTTGATGAAATCCTGTATATTAAATGACCAAGAAATTGCAAAAATACCTGAATACTAGAAATACTTAAAGAAGTTTTCATCAACATTATGTATTGAAACAAATTGTTTTAATCTTCATGCTAGAGGCAAGACTTTCAGACATGCAACTAGAATTATGTATATAAAAAGTATTTATGTATTTATTCTTGAATAAATGATTAAAATTTATTTTTTGTAAGGAAGAAAATGAATCCAGAGCACAGTAAAAATTAAGTATTTTAAATTTATCTTCTCTATTTAAATAAGAACATTAAAATTTTTTGCAATAAAATTTTGATAATACGGTGTATGATATTAATGTAGAAGCTATTTGGATAAGTTCTACACAAAACATTAGAAATATGAAACATTTACATTGTGTTATATATATTGTGTCCACATCCTGACTATAAATTATCAGTTATATTTTCACATGCAAAATGTATAGTACCCATTTAGAATAAATACATTAGTAGAATGCATACATGACCTGTCCAATCATGGAAATATACAAATAGCTACTTAACTGAAGAAAGACAATTAAAATAAGTAAATGTATATATATATATATATATATACACACACTAGCCTCACCACGATGAATATATTGCATATATTCTTCGTGGTGAGGCTAGTGTGTTCCTTCCAAGATTAAAAGTTGATGCTAAGTTACAAGTGTCCTTTACTAATTCATCAAAACCATATGAGCTCTACTGTGTATTACCTAATGCAAGCTTTCTTCTATTGTGGTGCTTTAGGCAGGTAAATGTGTCTATTCTATGTTGAAGGACAGTGATTTTCTGATCATCCCAGACTAATATGTTAGTCTTTTGATGAACTACTTTAAATTCCTAAATCTATATAGATACCTAATTCGTCACCATTTCATTTAGGAACAGTGAATAGTAAAACTTTGACGTATAATCTGTACCTCTTCTGTAGGTAGTTTCAGCTATAAAAATACTTTATAAATCCAAAATGTGATACGAAGATTGCTGACCAAGGATCATTTTTATTACCAGGTTCTGGAAGTGGAGACGTTATGGAAAGAAAGTTACTGGAATTTAGCACTGTTGTTGTAAAGAGTGAATATGAGATGGTAACAAAAACATACCATAAGAAAAGCTTTTTACTATATGATAATAATCAGAAGATATTTGATAAAATCAATAGTGTCTATTTCCAAAACAGATATTCCTAAAACATTGGCAGAAATTAATGTTTTATAATATTCACCTAAATGAAAAAATACGTGTAACTGTTCCTAAAGTAACTTTGTGAAATGAAAACACTCTTATGCTCTGGACATTTTTCTACTAACTTATAAATTAAAAAAAAAATGAATAGTATTTTCTATTTGTTTCTCAAGCATCCCTTTTGATCATTTTAATCCTCAGTATTGTTTTAATTGCCATTGAAATTATCCAAAATCATATGTAAAAAGCAAAGAACATCAAATAAATCCAGTGCTTTCCGAATGTTGAAGAAATAAAGATAAATATTCAAAACATTGGAAGAGACACAGAATTAAGTAATGTATCCTTATTCTAGATTGTCCCAGAAGAGGTGATTTAGAGTCTTAATATTTAAGAGAATAATAGATGCCACAGATGCTCACATTTGGATAGGTGCAGTAGAAAGTGAAAATGCCCTTTGATATCACTGATAGGATTCATGTTTGATGGCAACAAGTAAAAATATTATGAAGAAAGAGTCAGGTTACCTTTATGTATCTGTTGCTTGTAACTGTTGTAAAGTTAAACAGTAATATACAAAAAAAAAAATCATGACAGAGACCTTTTAAAATACCTCATGTAAAATAATGCCTGACCCTAGATTTCATACTGACTCACAAAGCACAATTTTTATATTCCATCTCCTATTGCATAATTATAAGAAATTACTATCGAGATTTTAAAAAGGGGAAGCATTTTCTTTGCATAATCACCACAGAGATTTTTATTTTACTTTGAAATGAAAACAAAGGTAATCAGCTTCCAATGCAATATCCTTGGAAAATACTGGAAAATGAAATGTGTTTATTTGGAGACAGAATTTCTACAAAATAAAATTATTAATATAAAAGACTAATAATAGTTGCCAAGGCAATTATTGACCTAGGAGTTAGTTGCTTATAGAATTTTCTTTTCTTTTTTTTTTAGAGATAAAAATAGTTACACATTCAAATTAATTTATTAGAACTTTACACAGAACTGTAAGTTAAGGTTAAAAAAGTAATTGAATTTTATTTAAAAATATGAGGTTGATAAGCACAAATTTAGCTAAATTAAACATCCAAAGGATTATATTAATGTTATCTAACCAGAAAACATCAAGGAAAAAGGTAATGTTAATAGGGTAATATACATAAATTATGATTATATCAATTTAGACTTGCTAGTGCATGATGATTATGCATTTAGCAACAGTGCATTTAGATATAGAAGCTACAATACTTTCTGTCACTACTTTTGATAAGTAACTCATTGATATCTGGAACATTCAGCTGTATGATTATTAATGTCTCTTTGTTTTTTTATTATTATTATTATTATTTTTCTTTTTAGTTACATTTTGTTAACTCTGTGTCCCAGCTGTATCCCGCTCCCTCATTCCCTCCCCAACCCCACACTCCCTCCCTGGTCTCCTCCCTGCCCCTTTCCAAGTCCACTGATAGGGGAGGACCTCCTCCCCTTTCATCTGACCCTGTTTTATCAGGTATCTTCAGGGCTGGCTGCAAAGTCCTCCTCTGTGGCCTAACAGACTGCTCCTCCCCGGGGAGGGGGGTCAAACAGCCTGCCCTTGAGATCCTGTTAGAAATAGTTCGTGTTCCCCTTACTTTGAAAAACTACTTGGTTACTGAGCTACCACGGGCCACATCCGAGCAGAAGTTCTAGGTTATATCCATAGATGGTCCTTGGTTGAGTGTCAGTCTCAGAAAAGACCCTGTGCCCAGATATGTTTGGTCCTTGTAGAGCTCCTATCCTTTCCATATCATACTAACTTCCCTTCTTTCATTTGATTCCCTGCACTCTGCCGAGGGTTTGGTTATGAGTCTTAGTGTCTGCTTTGAAACACTGCTTGGTAGAGTCTTTCAGATGCCTTTTATGGTAGACTCCTGTCATAAGTTCAATGCACATCCCATCATCTACAGTATAGTACTTAACATATCACAAAATTTAAGAAATAAATTACATATGTAAATGTTCTATCAATCTATTTTTACTATATTTTTA